TTTCTCCTTCGTATCCTTTTTGTTAATTCTCTCGTTTCTCTCATTCCATCTCGCCCAAGCCCACTTCAGGACAAGAAACCCTCCAAGTGCATATACCTGGAAATAGTTTTGGACAATAAACCATAAAGAAATTAACTTTTTTTTGCAGGATTTGAACACCCACATCAGAACAGATTAAGCAGACAGTAACCAAAACGTCTAGAGGTGCATGTGCCAAGTCATGCTACTCAATTACCAAGCGATTCCAACTATAGATACAGGAGCAAAACAAAAACTGCGACCACACTGCAACTCACTGAAAGCAATAAGAGATTAGAAAAAAGGAAGCCACTTTTGCAAATCGAGAAACCAACTGTTTTACTTTCACAAGTAGACTCAAGGACAGAGATGCTTAGAGATAATAAAGTCAGAACACCTTCGATTACAAATAGGAAGCAATAATCTAAGTAGCAATATCATCAACATCTGCCATAAACAGACATGGTCCTTACCAATTCCAATTGTTCTCCCCTCATAAAGAACATTACTACCAAGTAGCTCTCACCTAACCAGACAAAGCTCCCAAATTTAAAGCCAATCAAATCACAATTCCATGATTACTCATCTAAGAAATCACTAATGAACAGGAAAAACAAACCCTTTGCTTTACAATACCTGCCAAATAACGAAAGAGTTGGAAGTCCTGCCGGGGCTAGGCTCAGCCTCAACCTTCAATGGCTCTTCGTTCGTGGGAGGCTTGTAAGGGAAAGAGACGGTCGAGTTCTGAGGTTCCTTGTCGTCGCCGGAGACATCCTTGGGTTTTGGAACATTAACATCAATAACAGAAACAGGAGCCTTAGGTTTCAGAAACGGGAATAGATTGGAGACGAAAGGAGGTAAAGTAAAAGGAGGAGAATCGGAGCCATGCGAACGATCATCGGTGGTTCCAGCCATTGTACACCGCACGAAGGTTTTAGGGTTTCGAATCGTCGGATTAGGCTTACTACAAATTGTCTGGTGGTCACTTCTCTGCACTTTTCGCCTTTTGTTTACGACACGTGTCTTTTTCAAGTTTTGTTTTGGATTAACCCCAAACGGGCCGAAATCTCGATCAGGCCATAGAGGAGTTGGTCACCGGCCTGGCCCATACTATATATTGAAAATCAGTGTAAATAAAATCATAAGACCAAAACCATGGGTTATTCTCAAATTTGCACGCAAATTTGGAAACGGATACGTAGAAACGAAACGTTAAGAAACATGAAAACACGAAAACAAATTTCTTGCAAAAAGAAGAGAAAACGGAAACATTTTGGAAAC